GGTGAAAATGTGCGATTTCAATGCATTTTCGGCCTTAAAGCGGCCGCCATTTGGTTATCGTTAATGAGATCATGAAACAAATGCACATACATATTTGTGACATGATGTACCTTGTGTGTGTGAAGTTTGAACTCGATCAATCCAAGCATGTCTCAGATACGGATCCAGAACTGAATTCTTTAAAACAAAATGGCCGCCAGTCGGCCATTTCGAACCCGATCCAAAAAAAAAAATGACGTGCATCAAGGTCCTATTATGTTTAATGTATGTACCAAATTTGAACAAAATCCGTCCATGCATAAATGAGATCCGGGTCCGGAATAGTGAAAATGTGCGATTTTGATGCATTTTCGGCCTTAAAATGGCCGCTATTCGGCTATCGTTAATCGGATCATGAAAAAAATGCATGTGCATATGTCCCATATAAGGTGTGATGTATGAGTGAAGTTTGAACTTAATCGGTCCATGCATGTTCGAGATACAGGTGATCACGGACGGACGGACGCACGGACGCACACAGGGCAAAACATAAGTCCCCGTTTTCGGACTGCATCCGAACGGGGACTAATAAATCTGATAGAGGACCACCAAAGGTACCTACATATCAACGGTCAAAGCAATTTAATCTTAAAGACCGTAGAGTTCTGTTATGAAGTGTGTAATACAAGACATGAATGTCACAGTCACTGTTATTTAATTATAAAATACTCATGTTAAAATAATACATGGAACTTCTGCAAACAGTTGAAATAATATGTACTCTATGTGGGTACAACTCATCATAAAGTGATTTCCCGTAATCTGATAACTGAAAACCTCCATTGACCTGTGTCAAAAATCTCAGAGTACACAAGTGTAACCAAACTATGTCTCATACATTTATACATGCTCAAGAAACTGCATTCATAAATCTGAGTAAACCTTGATGTACCTTTAATAACAACTTGACTTTTTTGTTAATTCAGGTCTTTGTATATTACCAGGACCTGGGTTTGTTTCATTATCCCCACTATAATTCCCATCGTCCCCCTCTACTGTTTCCACTGAGATTTGTAATAGTATGACCCATTTATCCACAGCCCTGGCAACTGAAGCTATATTTAGACCACATGTGTCAATGTGCATGGCCATGTTTTATATACAGTAACTGCAAAGTGTTTTCACTGATCTTCAACTTTGTGACCAGGTATTTTAGTGACGACTCTTTATAATGGAATGGAATGTAATTTTTACAGTTTAAAGATATAATATACAAAAACATTTCTGACCTCTTTTTTTTTAAGATTTCAGTGTTAATTTTTCATAAAACCAAACAAAAATTAGACTGTGGTCCATTTCTGTCACTAAATCAGATCAAGGTTATGATGTCACTGAAAACCCTAGCATTACCATTTAACCTAATTATTTATTCTGAGCATGCTCAGTTGTTCTCTCAGTATTGTTGGGAGAGATAATTTTGGTGTGTGACAGAGTGAAAACCTTTATTTCATGGTATTTTTCATTATTGAGATACATGTGTTATGTATATCACAAATAGATTTGGTCAAAAACAATTTGTACTTCAACACAAGTTTGTAGTAAATCGGCCAACATATTTCAGAGATCTGGTTTCGGACATGTCAAAATACCAGCTTTTTGTGTATTTAAAAAAAAATGGCGTCAGTCCATCACAAAATCACTGCAAGTGTATTTATATCAGATCAGATATTAAGTATGTGTGGGGGTAGGAGAGAATTGGCGCAAGGGTAGCCGAGATACAGCCTTGCATGCACACAAACACTACCGTATTACCCCGGGCACGCGTCCAGGGGCCTGAACATACAAAATCGGGGAAAAATGGGGGTGGGCGCTTACCTGAGGACCACCCCAAAAAAGATTTTAAAAAGTTGTTTTTGTGATCGTATGACAAGGTCAAATAAAGGAATGCTTTCGTACACTTTGTACACGTACTTATTTCTTGATTTATGCAAGGTTTCAATAAACGTGAGCACTCGGTCAAGAACTGTGGGAACACTAAGAGACGGGGTTGAATTTCAAGAATAAAACTTGTTTTATGTCAGCGAATGAAGTTGTATTACTCACTGAAATTGGCTACAAAGTATGGTAAGTATTGTAATCAATGCACGGTTACTTTTTTAGTAACCTTGATCAGTGCATGCAAGTCGAAACGACTGGGAAAAACTACTGCTTGTAATCCAAGATGGCGATGACCTCATTAGCATAATTTTGTTCACGCACG